CTCTGTATGGGAGGTAACAGTACGACGTGGATGAACACGGCCGTTCTGGTGACTTGTATAAGAAATTTCCGGCGAAATCGCGGTCCAGTTTCCGGGATTCTTAAAGGATACGTTGGTTTAAGCACTGCTATTTTCACGATTCTCTGCACTACTCTGTTTTCTTCAGATCCGGCTTCGTTTCTCGTTCTACTTGCCGTCGTTCCTTTCGCCGTTTGTCTCACGGCGGTTTTCTTCCTCCGTGAAATCCCACCGGCGACTTCCGTCGCTGAGGAAAACGAAGAGTCGAAATACTTCGCCGTGTTCAACATCGTCGCGGTTGTTGTCGCCGTGTATTTACAGTCTTACGACGTAATCGGAATCAAAACCGGAGTTTTCTCCGTCGCGTTCGCCTCCGTACTTTTGATCTTATTAGCTTCTCCGATCGCCATACCTTTCCACGCATTTATCAGAAGCTTAAATCTGAATTCAAACGACGAACAAGACGTAGAAGGACAAATCGATGAACCGTTGCTTAGATCGGAGATTGTTGAGGAGACGACGGTGGTTGGTGCTGCAGCAGTGGCGGATAACGAATTGCCACCATTGAAGGTCGAAGAAGAGGAAAAGAATCATGGAGCCATGGAGGAGGTGGAGAAGAAGAAGCCAGTGCTTGGAGAAGAACATACTATATTAGAAGCCGTGTTGACCGTTGACTTTTGGGTCTTGTTCGTGTCGTTCTTGTGTGGTGTAGGTACTGGTTTAGCCGTGATGAACAATATGGGTCAGATCGGACTTGCTCTTGGTTACACCGATGTTTCGATTTTTGTCTCCATGATGAGTATTTGGGGTTTCTTTGGTCGGATTCTCTCCGGTACTATCTCCGAGCACTTTATCAAGTAAGTCACTTTTACCAAAAAGTTAAAGATTCGTTAAAATTTGATTGTTTAAGATAGATTTTGTAACGTGTGATTAGGAAAATTCTCATGATTATTCAGTGGATTCTGATTGAAGTAAGGTTTACTCTGTTTCTTTGCTTTGGCGCTAAGGAAGACAAGAGAATATTATTTGCTTTATTATTCGGTTACTTAGAATTGAAGATTTTTTCCATTTACATGATATTTTGTTAATTAAAGCAATTTCATTTTGGGTTAGTTTATTTACTTCTTGTGGAGAAGTTTCCTTGTCCAACAATAGACCGGTGTCCAATATCTAGTGCCGAGGGACCATATAATAAAGTTTCCATTTTTTTTTTTTGATGACTTTATGCGTTGAAAGATCTTTTTAAGATTTTCTTAAACTTTAATTGACAAACACAAGATCGTGGGGACCTTGATTGAATAATCTTTGTTATTAAGGGAACTTTTTTAATACATTGACTAATCTTTTGAAAATATGATATTTTGTTTTGTTCTATAGAAAATCAGGAACACCAAGACCATTATGGAACGCAGCATCTCAGATAATTATGGCCGTAGGATATTTACTGATGGCTTTAGCCATGCCTGGTTCACTCTACATCGGTTCGGTTGTTGTTGGGGTTTGTTATGGAGTCCGGTTAGCCATAACCGTACCAACCGCATCCGAACTCTTTGGTCTCAAATACTACGGACTCATCTACAACATCCTAGTACTTAACTTACCTCTAGGATCGTTTCTTTTCTCGGGTCTACTCGCGGGTTTACTCTACGATGCTGAAGCGACACCGACTCCTGGTGGTGGCAATACATGTGTAGGAGCACATTGTTACCGTCTAGTCTTTATTGTAATGGCATGTACTTCCATTATTGGGGTAGGTCTTGACATTTTGCTTGCGTATAGAACGAAGGAGATTTACGCGAGGATTCATTCGAGCAAGAAGGCTAAGAAATCATCTCGTGGTAGTCTTAGATGAAAGTTAAGTTAAAACAAAAACAAAAAACTGGATTTGCTTTTTTGGTTAAGATCATTTTTTGGGTATGTTTAGTTCTATCATAGTATAATATATAGATTTATTGTGTCTATGTTCCATGCATATGTTCGTTATTATCGTTAGAAAGGGATGATTGTACACTTTACGCCTATGCTTAGTATATTTTTAAAATTGGGTTTAAGTGTTTAAACGAAGTTGTATGGTGCAAATTCAGATAATGGAAAATCAATAATTTTTACATTTTCACTCTATTTACTTTCTCCTAATCATTATATCTTATTATCTACAAATCATTTAGATTAAAGAAATTTAGCAGTGTGTGTTGTTACACACAAGATTAGAGACAATCATTTCACAATTGTTGTTTACTTGTTTCCATGTACTTTCTCTGTTAATTTACGCATCTTGATTATAAAAATATATCTAAATGAATGTATTTTTTAACTATATTCGATTGAACTTATTCGACCCAGCACGGTTATTTGCTCCGATCAGACCGCCGTTGATCAAATGTCGTCGAAGCGATATCCACGACGTGGAATGTGAACGATAATAAACACGGCACATGATAGCAAATTTTGTTGGAGCAATAAGCCGATAACGTACACTGAATATATCGCATCAGAATGTTGATACGTCGTCGTTTTAACTCCTAAAGCAAAAATGTAAAACATTTCGAAATGAAAAGAACAAAGCTTTGAAAAAGAATTAGAAACAAGCTTAATTGCGGATACTATTTGATAATGTCATCTAAAATCAATACTATATAGTTGTTTCGAACATAGTCTATGACTATGAGCATCACCAATGTATACACACAGAGAGCTTCATCAAACGTTGGAGAAGACCAAAGAGAATTACATCAAAGATGAAAACAAAACATACACATGTAAAAATATGTAATGGCTACGACATTCTTACATCTCCCACCATTACCTCCATTCGAGTCTTTAAAATGGAGTATAAAAGCTGAAAAAAAAACTATAAAACTTCGTTACAAAAAAACATATATTATTTAAAGAAAACCATAAGGTCGTCTACATGATATTCAAATTATGCCTGAGCCAAAACGAGACTACTGATAATTTGTTGGATAAAAATTCAAACATTTGGATTTGAAGCTTTTACTCCCGGTTGTTTAAATTCAGTTATATCATTGACATTACGTTTAAAGTATGCTAGATAACAGATATGTAATATATAACATTTGAATTTTTCATACGCATTAAAATCAAATAAAAACATCATAGTAAAGCTTAATTAAGTCTAACATATGATAAAGTGTTACATGTTAATAAAATTGAGTATATGTAACATCTTTAAAAACAACAAATTAGCAAAAATCAAAACAAGCAAGAGTCAAAGTCCTTTAAAATTTGATACCCGTATAATTAAATATTATATTGACCAAAATAATTAGAACTAATTAGTTTTGCAAAGTAAAAATTAGTATGCACTTCTCTTTGGAAACTGTAGATGCCATTACTAACTAATTAGTTTTGCAAAGTAAAAATTAGCATGCACTTGTATTTGGAAATTGTAGATGCATTTACTAACATCATTACTATAATAAACAAGAAAAGTAAATTAATTGTCATTACCTAAGGCCACTATGTAAAAAGTCCTCCGTTTTTATTCAGCCCATGCGAAAAATAAGGAGTTATGATTGTTTTTCTTTAAATTACGAAAATAATACTAATCTCATTCTTGAAAAACAAAGAAA